TGCTCTCTTTGCCCGGGACTTCGATTTCGAGGGACCGTTTGTCAACCTCGGAGCGAATCGCGCCTTTCGAGCGGGGAATTTTTCACGCCCGCCTCGAGGGCCAACGGTTGGAAATTGTCGTTATTTCTCATTTTGCAGGCTCGAACCTCCCGGGGGCCGTTTACCCAGGGCCGTCAATCGATCGCTCGATAACGAGGAACCCGAACCTCCACCGGGGGCAGGGAATTTATTCCTGGCGAAGTCGATACCATCGGTGAGGATAAATCAACACGCGTCCTCCTCTCGACTCGTCGAATGAAAGGAGAGCGCGGAAAAAGGGACCATCCATCGAGTCACGCTCGTCACGTCGGTCTGGAAAAAATTAACTGCAATATAATCGTTCTCCGACTTGACACTCTACAAAACGCCCCGAAGCCTCCGAGGAACGACCTGCCCACAATGGCGATTCAATTTACCGGGAGCCCAGTATTTTTTTTTTTTTTACGCGAGTACATTGTGGGAATCACTCGGAGGATACATTGGATAAGCAGGGATAATTGGACACTCGGTCATTGTTGCAACCATTTACCTATGTACATGCGATTATGGTACCAAAGTGCTTTTATGTACTAGGGTCTCACTTCAGTTTCGCACATGGACAGAGAAAGTGTACCCAACGCCGTTTTTCCATCAATTTATTTAGTTAAAAGCGCCATTCTCTTATCATATATCAGTATTCCATACATTTTAACTTTCTCGGAGAGATGCTCTATGGAACAGCGAAAACCGCATAAAAATCCGTTTAGTGGTCTCGAGATTAGCTTTATGTTATGTGTAGATGTGCCTAATCTGTAAGCCAGAAAAACGGAAATGAAACGTCGCGGTGACTGGACTAATCGTTAAGGATCACTGTTTATGTATCGATTCCTGGTGCGGGAGGTTTCTGGAAGACGTTTCAGGCGGAATTTAGAGATTAGGCGGAAATTGGGGTGAAAAAGAGGTGCGTCTCCCGCTTGGGGAGTAACTCTTCCCCGAGGCTTCGCTTCCGTTTCCGGCGAACGGCAGGGCTGGGCGGCGTAGGGCGAGTATCCAAATGAAATCTCCGCGGCTAATAAATATTCGGCTATCGCGGTTAATCGGGTTATCGCGAGTTATCGCGGCCCGAGGGCGGGCTCGGTTTGCGCGTCGAGACTACCCGTAAGTATCCACCTATAGTGCTCTACCTTGCGTGTAAGTGGACTCGCGAATAGCGCGCGAGTACCGATATTAGCTCGTCCGTATTAGTGTGGCCACACATCGGCTTCTATCGTTTCAGATACGAGTAATAAACCCGAGGTGTGGAGTGCCGCGATGGCGCTGCTCTGGAATTAAGTCGCGCTCGAGACTGAAATTCCACCGTAAGAAAAAATGGCCTCTAATCACAGAATTGTCTTATCGGAAATTTGTTTCAGGGCGACAAGAGGAACTCATTGCATCCAGCACCTCGCCATTACTCCTACATAAGAAGTCACACCACAATGAGTGTCTGAAAATTATAATTTTTTTTTTTTTTCGAAAACAGATATTCTCGATGGGTCTTCGTATAAGATTGAAAAATGTGTAGTGGGTTTGCTGCAACTCCTTTTTGTGCAACTGACTATTTTTTAATTTCTTTGAGACATTCATCGTGGTGTAGGCCTTTAACTTGTAATGGGACGTCGAGAACACAGTTCCACGGGAATTTCAGGACCGAGTCCTGGCATTTTGGGCCGTAATTTGCTTCCTGACTTGCATAATGCTAGAACGTCGGTGCAGGTAAGTAGCATGGCACACTGCCATGCCGCAACATCGCTTCCCGGTCGAGGCCGTCGGTCGTGTATGGAGGCTCTTGCGCATAATTGCTTAATTGCACGCCCATACATCAGCTGGCAAAGTAGCTGACAGTCGCTATCACCCAAGATCCATCTGGCAGAAGTTTTTCCGGATTTTTAACCGCGTCGGAAAACTCGATCGACCTCCTCCAGACAAGTTTTCCACCTGAGCGATCCTTTCCTAACTTCCGAGATATATAATGCGCATCTCTTCCACTGAAACCCTATTTTTGAGTTCATACGATCACCTTTCATAATTGCCAGAATTAAAATTGACAGTTTCGTACACGACTTAAAAACTTTAACCAATGACGGGACTTCGAAATAATGCAATTCTTTTTTCATGCGAAAAAAATATCCGGATGAACTCGAGAATCGAGTTTCAGGGTCGACAATGTAAATCGTGGATCTTCCTCTTCGTTCCAATTGAGCTTAGCTGGAAGAAAAAAAAAAAAAGAAAAGAAGAAGCGAAATCAAGGTGTCGGTAAACTCACGTTGAGGTTAGGAGGTCCTTGGCGCTGAAAAATCCTGGATTTATGCCCGAGTTGCGGCTGTACAGAAGTGTATAGAGGTTTTCTTCCTCGTATCGGCCGAGGCGAAGACGATGATTAGAGTAATCACGGCCGGGCAAGTAACGTTCGCCGATTACGATAATTTAACACGGGACGGCGAGAGAGCCGGGCGATTTGTAAGTGCGCCGCGAATTCCTCAACGGCTGATGAAACGCCGCTAATTATCATCGTAGAGCGATCAAACCGCTAGTTGTCAGCGAGGAGCTCGTCGTTCCATCCCGATTACAACCCTCCATTAATATGGCGACTACCATAAGCGACCAGGACGGATTAATGCAGAACCGGCCTGCACCATGGCTCTCCTCTGAACAACTTCCGGTCTTCCAGCGAGGTGTCGGCGCACGCACGTCCGTTCCATGCATCGTCTAATCCCGGTAAATCGAAATCGACCACCAGGAAGAATGATTAGATTACTACCTCTCTGTAATTAGATTCAAGTACGTTGTAGCGTCGCAATAAAAATTATCTGCAGACGATGCATTTCATGGGTTAGTCCAAGTCCAACGGCAAGGGAACTCGAATGCGGAAGAACAGTCTGAGTCATATAACACAGATTACTAAAACAACGCGTAGTCGCCAGGAAAAGGAAAAGCAATATGCATTTAACCCTTTCGCCGTAGAGAAATTTAATATAGAGCGCGCGACACACACGGCAGGTAAAACGATTATTACGAGCGTTATTAAAGCACGGAAATTCCGCAGCGGATGTATACAGGTAACATACCAAGCGACTAGTAACAACGAACGCATCTAATTTTACCGCTTTTCCCTGGCCGTTTCGATCGCACAATGAAAAGGCATCGTTAATGCAGTATATACCTCCAACAGAGGTTATGTTTGTCGTTCCCCGAAGCTCTGGTGAAACACTGCCCCGTAATTCCGGGAGTTTACGACAAGCTTCGAGCCCAGGGACAATTGGATCACTTGGCAGTTAAGGTGTTACGAAAGTGCTCCATATATGCATACCAAAAATCCGAAAAATGATAAAACCCTGTCATATCACCTTACCACTTTGACTGTCGTATTACTTGACCGTATTCGGGTGACATAGCGGTAGTCAACGTGTTAATCTTCAAAAAATCATAGTTACGAGATTTCGGGTTCCTTTCATCCGCAATTGGTCCCTCCTGTCCCCCTCCCGTGGTCCAACAAAGAGCAATCGTTCAGCGGCGTTACCAAAAAGCCGTTACTCCGTGCGTTAAGATTTTAAGTGGAACTGGCGAGTAGTTCAGGGATGGCCACACGCGTAGCGCGTCGCGTCCTCCTCCCGCCCGACCTCTGGCGACGGTAGATAGGAGTTGCGTCCAAAAAAGGGGGAGCGAGATGGCGACGGAGAATCCCTTAGCCGAGAGAGAGAAGGAAACGCGAGCGCGATTGTAAGGGAGAGGGAGTAGGAGAGAGAGGGGGGAGAGCGAGGGGAGGCAGAAGGCAGGGCTTCCGGCGCGGCCGAGCGGTCGACCAACCACAGCGACTGCTGCCTCGACTGGGCGCTCCGCGCCGTGGCAGGTTTCCGCTCCGTCCACCAGATGTCGAGTTCCCCCTCGCCCCTCGTGGAGAGTAGACCTCCCTCCGACGCTGCAGGGCAGGCCAGGGTCTCCTGGATCCGTGCTGGGCGTAGCGGTTCATGGTCGACGCCTCGGAACGCCCCTCGACGTCCCTCCACCGTTCGGACGAGGGCAGACGTGCCGCGGCAACCAACTGGACAACCAGCTCTCTCGACAGACCGGGTTTCGTTGAACTGCTCCGCTCGCGGCTTCTCTGGACGGAAGTCGCGCAACACCGCGCAACGCCGCGATACAGCGCGTGACAACGCGCAGTAACGCGTAGTAACGCGCACCGCTGCGCTGTGCCTGGATCTGGGTGAGAAAGAGTGTCGGCAAGTGTCGCAGCGTGCGAGGTCGGGGAGACTGGAAGAGGTCATGGAAATGGATCGACGAGGTTGAACGCCGAGTCGGAAGTGTAGAGTACTAAGGTCGTGGGCAGGTTAGAGGAAGGCGCTAGAAGAGGTTTTGGGGCTGGAGGGATGCCCAAGGGAGCAGTCGTTCCGGGGGACAGGAAGGGATGAGGCGTTGAAGCAAGATGGTCTGAGAGGAAGAGGAGCGCAGAGTGGTTTCTTGGACCCGGGATGACGTTGGAGAGGTCGCAGGGCTGGAGGGTGGCCTCGAGGTAGAGAATCCTTCTCGGGGTGCAGAATGAAAGGGAGACTGGTCGCGATCGAGGAGAGCTGAAGAGGTCCGGTAGATCGGACCATGACCATGACCAGCAGCCCAGCCGCGACGGAGGTGATGGAGATGGTGGAGACGCGCGGGCAGATCGGCGTCCACGAGGACGTGGACAGGAGAGACCTGGGGAGCGACTGCGAGAGCGATACCAGCGAGGTCCTGAGTGTTGGGAGCGAGCCGACGCCCACCCTGGACGCCCGGGAGGGACCACCCAGGGTATACGAGGAGAGACAAAGAGACTTCCGGGACGACAGCAACACCAGGACGTCGGCGACGCCCTCGCCGGCGGCCTCCCCCTCGAGCTCGACCAGTTGCAACGACGGAGGCCTTTATTACCATCATCGCGGGGGTTCGGGAGCTCCCGTGCAGACCCCCAGTCCACCCGGGTACAGCCAAACCCCGTCTTCGCCTGCCGCCTCCGTCAGGTCGCCCTCAAGCGTCGCCACGTCTTCCCCAGGGAGACCCGATCCTAGTCAGGACGTGGTCGTGCCCAGGTACCCCTCGTCCCACGCGCATCTGGTGCCCCGGTACCCCAGGGATGCCGGAGACCTTGTGGACTACCCGCCGAGATTGCCCCCTCCGCATCTAGGACATGAGATCGTTTATCCGACCATGGAGAGGCTGCACAGGACCCCCATCAGCGTCCCCCTGGTGACCAGGTTGCCTCTGTCCCCGCCGTCGGCGATGACCGTCGCTGGTCTCCAAGTCGCCACTCCTGTTCTCCATCCCAGCGCGTGCCGAGATCTCAGGGACTTGCGGGACCTCAGGGACCTTCAACCTCAACACCTTCCCCAGCATCCTCATCCTAATCCCAACGCTCACCTGCAGCCCACCTCGCAGGTGCAGCACGTCCCCGCCACCGCGGTCCACCACAGGCTCTCCGTCGGCAAACTGCTGCACTCCTCGCCGCCACCACCTCCTCGGGACCCTAGTCCTAACTCTCCCAGGGAGGAGAACGGACCCAGGACCCTCGGGGGGATTGGCCATCCTAACAACCACGGAAACAACCACAACAACAACCTTCAGCACCAAGCCAGTTTAAAGTTCAGCATAGACAATATCCTTAAGGCGGACTTTGGCAGGCGCATCACGGACCCCATCTCCCTGAAGAAGTCTCGCCCGAAGAAGGTCGTGCCTAGACCCATCGATCTTACCAAGGACTTCTTGGAGTCCTCGTCGGAGAGCTCGGAACGGGGATCCGAGACCTCCACCAGCAACACCTCGCCCGGCATCTCCGTGGGCAGTGCCACGTCTGCTACCGCTGGCGCTGCTGCTCCTCCGGAACCTGGCAAGCAGATGCTCTGGCCGGCGTGGGTCTACTGCACCAGATACTCCGACAGACCTTCTTCTGGTAAGTACCCTTTATGATCCATTTGTTCCCTGCGAAGGGAATTGGGGAAGAAATGGGATTTGGTACGGACCGATGGTCTTGCGATTAATCACATTCCGCCATACAAATGAACATTCTGGGACAAACAGCTGATCACTGATGTTGGTCGGCCTGCGATCGTGAAACTCGGCAGCGTTTCGCGCCAAGTACATGCATGATCGAATTTAACCGCGCATTGTCGCTAAGTGCTTATTTAGTCTTGCTTGATCTGGCGCTAAATGCTAATGACGTACAGAAAGAGCGAAAAGGACTCGTTGGCTTCCGTTCGCTCTTCGACGGGCTCTCTTTTCGTCCTTTGACTTTCTTGAAATCTCGAGTACGACCATCAGGTCCTGGCGGTACTTGCGGAGCAGATATGTCTCGGTACCCATTGCACTGCTTCACGTAGGGTCGTAATTTATACCAGTGGACGGTTTCGCGAGGTGCAATTAGGTAGAGGAGAGCTCGCCTAAGAAGCGACGTGCAATTACGCCTGTAATTAAGCGAACGATTAATACGTACGTCGGTCGCGGCAATTACAGGACGGAGTCCGGGGATTTTTCCCTATTCTCCCGCCGGGCTCGGAAAGTGTCCCGACTCCGTCTTTGGCATCTCCTTAAACCTGAAACTATCATATCATTAACGTCGAATAGCGGCCAGGTCGCGTAATTAAGGTGGTATGAAAGGGTCATTGTATCATTCATTGTTCACACAAAATTTCTTTTATTTAGCTTAGATCACATTTTGAGAGGGGAAATGAAATTTCACGTTCTTAGGACCTCTAAAATCACGTCCTGAAGTTCTAAATGATTCGCACCCTGTTTGGAGAAAAGTGTTTTTTTTTTTATTTAATTTTTTTTTTAATACTTTGACGTTTTATATATGTTGAATTTCTCTTTCATATCACGTTAATACCTCGTTTTGGTATTGGCCACTCGTTAAAGAGGTCGATGGGTTTCCTAACGAAAGGCCCGCGAAATAAAGAGACATTAATTTGCGGAGCCAGCTCGCCGTGGCACGAGAGCCGATATAGAGACGCGAGGTCGAACCCCTTATCGGGCAGCCTCCAGGGATCCATCGATCTTATTAAGGCTAAATCGAAGGTGCCGTTCCATGGCGATCCGGTAACAAACCTGGCCGAGAAGTCGGCCACTCGAGGCTTGTTTCACCGAGACGCATTGCGACTGTGATTTCCACTGGAACTGTTACCACGCGTCACTCCAAGGATCCCCCCCCATTTGGACATTTTGTATAAATTATTTATCGGGGGAAATCACGGGGCATAATTGGCTCGGGTTATGGCGGCTGTTAGATGCATAGGTCTTGATACTTCGAGAAATTTTTCGGTTCGAGTACCGTCGCGTTCTGACGCCATTTTGAATTTTTTAGTAGAGCGCCGATGGGACGATGCACTGTAAAGTAACTTAGAAAAATCAAACGCGCTTAAGGTGATATGAAAGGGACTGTACATATATGTATAAAGGGTCATATAAAGCGATTCTATCAGTGGGATGAAATTTCCACGGCGAAGAGTATCTCGAAGAGATACTATTGATACTTCGAGAAATTTTTCGGTTCGAGTACCGTCGCGTCCTGACGCCATTTTGAATTTTTTAGTAGAGCGCCGATGGGACGATGCACTGTAAAGTAACTTAGAAAAATCAAACGCGCTTAAGGTGATATGAAAGGGACTATACATATATGTATAAAGCGATTCTATCTGTGGGATGAAATTTCCACGGCGAAGAGTATCTCGAAGAAGTGCTCGCCGTTCCTCCCGACCGGGTATCGATACCTCACCGATAAGAAGCTCCGATTTACGTAATCCACCTTCAGGAAAAAGAAATTGCCTCGGGATGGAGAACCGAGAAGAAAGACCCGAAGAAGTGCTACCTCGAAATTCCCGCGATGCTCTAAGAGTACCCGAAGAGTCCTCTTCGTCAGATCGAGTTTCTCCGAGATATCAGCATCCCTGGGTAATTTCACTCGGTACCGAGTAACTCACCCGATATAATCGACCTCATTTAACGACTCTGGGTTCGTTAATCGTTAATTGCGGAGGCGCCATCATTGCGGCCGAGCCGCGTCGCGGCGGCAACCTGCGATTAAATACCTTTCATTAATTAATTCATTCTGGCGGGTATTAATTGAGAGATCCCTATTTTCTTCTTCTTACGTCGAGGTATCACCGGTAAATATCCGTGCCTTAACCCTGTCGACTAAATTTTTCTCATTTTTGCCAACTTCGTCAGTCCACTCATTAATTAATTAATTCCCGTGGTTTAAATCTATCGATTCAATTTTCCTCATTTTTGCTAGCGTTGTCAGTCCATTCTTTAATTAATTAATTCCCGTGGCTTAAATCTATCGACTAAATTTTTCTCATTTTTGCCAACTTCGTCAGTCCACTCATTAATTAATTAATTCCCGTGGTTTAAATCTATCGATTCAATTTTTCTCATTTTTTGCTAGCTTTGTCAGGGTATATGTCGACATGTTGTCTGCGTACGTGGTCGCATTTATCCGGGGAATTAAATATGTAGAAAGGGAGATCGTTTTTTGGCAGGAGTCCGGGCTCGGCTCGAGGTGACGAATGTGGACCGGAAGTGAAGCTGTCGTCGGGGACAACGATATAATGAACGTCTTGTCACCGGGTGGACCGTCGAGGACGTGGCTTACGAGTGTCGTGCCGTGTAAATGGGACCCTAGGGATCCATGTGGGTGGGCAGCTTATGGTTGTCGGTCTCGTCTTCCACGAGTATGTTGATATTCCTGACTCGAGAGTATCCGAGGAACAAATATTTTTTCACCGTCACCTCGAGAGACCTCATAATCGAGGTGGTCCCTCGAATGTCGAAAGTCTTCTTCTTCTCTTAAAATGAACGTTCGATAACCTTTTCATTAGAATCTCTGCCGCAATTAAATGTACAATCGATTATATCTTTCATATATGCAAGATATTATTGATTGCACCTTTCATATTAACATCTCAGAAAATACCTTAAGGCGATGTGAAACACGTCGAGGAACTTGATCAACGTCGACGAAGAAGATTTTTCTAAATGCCTACGTTGCCGACGTTGGTTTTTATATCGACAGCTGGGTAGAATTATATTGTGTATTGTACCAAATGGCATACTCCACCTGTCGTTTTCGTATAATAATTATAAAGACATTGAAGTAAATAATCGACAACATCAACAATCAGGCCAACTAGGCGAGGTTATTAATTATTTAACAACTGAAATTAGCGCCGCCTCGTTAAATCGGCCGCGAAGTTATGTCTAATTACCCCGCGAGGATTAGCAGAACAAACATTCCACGGCAGGATTTCTTTGTTGCCCGTAATTGCGGAGCAATAATTAAATCCCTTGTCGGCCTCAGGAGTGGCGAAAAACGTCGTTTTGTTCTTATCGCCGGGGCGTTTCATTATCACCCTGGGGTACGGTGTCACTCTCTTCGGCGAGGGGGGAGGGTCTCGTTCCGATACCTCGACTGACATGGCCCGATTTCCCGATAGTTGGCGTATTTTCAATTAGGCTCTTTTTAACCCGCCTCTTGTCGGTGTATACGCGATAGAAGTCGTAAAGGTGTCTTCGGTGTGCACGCCGCTTGAGATATCGTAATTACCGCGGAGTTACTTGCAGGTACAAGTACACCGGTCGCGGGGTCCGAGGGGCATGAGTGTGTAAATATAACGAGCGGCATTAATGGACTCGTTAACTTTCCGCTTAACGTCCTCCGCAGGTTTTCGTCCTTATCCGCGGGGAACATTAAGGCGTATCGCGGCACGCTCTGCTAAACTGCCGACGTTATAAGGACATTATAGATGCCGATTCATTTTTAAGAAGGAAACGCTTTCGAGAAATGTAGAGTTGGGTCTGGGGGCGTGGTGGATGCAATGCCACGCCTATCGCTTCCCCCTCTCTGCCTGATATTTTCACTGTACAGTTGCCTTAAATCGTTCCTAACCGCGGTTTTCAGTAATACTCGGTATGGATACGTCTTAAAAATATGCCGTTCCTATAAAGACGTTATAGGCGACGATTTATTCTCTAGGAGAACACGGTTTCGATAACCAAATCGCGAGAAACGTGAAAGTGCAATCCCGGGGGGCGTGGTGAATGCAACGCCACGCCCATAGCTTCCCCCTCTTCGCCTGATATTTTCACTGTACAGTTGTGCGATCTAATGAAATCCTTGAAATTAAATCCGTAATCAATTAAAAGATAACGAAGGATTTTTCTTAACGTCGATTACTTCGATATCGGTGGTATCAATTTCGCCCTTACTTTCTCGACGGCCATTTCACTGTTCCTACTCGATTTATATTAGAACTTCGATACTTCGATATTGGAAACATTTCTCTCATTTACACTTTAGGTTCATTTCTACTGAAAAAAAAAGAAAGAAAAAGAGTCCCCCTGAAACGAGAGAGCTATCGGGAAATCGCGGCTGGAGAGTCGCAACGTCGGAATAACTTTTCCACCCACNCCACCCCACTCGTCGCAGCTCCCAGCTATGCCAGGAATTCAATTGCTACGTTTTCGCCCGCGATGGGAGACACTCGCCGAAGGGTTGTTTTAATGAATTTATAGGGGAAATCGTCGTAAGGGTGGCGCGACCCCTGGTGTCGTTTCGTCCTGCCAATTCGTTCCTACCGGTGATTTTAGAACGGAGCAAAACTCCCCCCGCGGTCTTCTCGCTCCCGAAATGGCTCGTAATAAAATCGCGAACACCCCGAGGACACCTAGTGCCTTTTGAAAGAACCCAGCCGTCGTTAATCCCATTTCTGGGGCAATTTCAAACGAAATTTTTTGTTAAGCGATTTCCCGTCCTAGGGGAAACCAACTAGGGGTAGTTCACAGTAATCTGAAAAGGAGAACGTGGCATTTCCCCCCGTGGAGAGGCACTCGTTAAATCGATACGAGAAACAGGAAATGGAGGGCAGGTGTCCGCGACTCTTTAAGGGGGCTCCAAGT